CCTCTAGATCCCAGTTGTTAAAAGAGGGAAAAATTTAAACAGATGTATAACAAATAATTTTGAACGTTATAATCTTTTAAGCTTAAGGCTAAAAATATTAACAATATGATCATTTCCAATCCAGAGATACAAGTTCCAATGCAGTTCCTATTTACCATAAATGGTTTTGGTAAGAGGAATATTGTAAATGTGGATACATTTCCACTATTTATTTGTGCTTTTAAAAAAGGCTTTATTTAGCCTCTAGGGGATCTCCCATCATTAATACCTAGACATGTTGGGTTTTGAGCGAACAAGCCACTTTGCTTTTCCTCTCATAATCTTTGTCAACTCTTTCTTCTACCTTTCTATGCCACACTCATTGTCAGATTACCCTCTTACTTGCTCTTAGCAGCTCCTAGGAGCCACTAACATAAGTTTTTCCCTGAGTACTGATTATAAAACTTGGCCAGAATCCTTGTCTTTTCAGTCTTGATAAAGTTTTCTGGTTGCCTGGTTACACCAAGGGAATATAGTCAACTCTAGACAATATTCTCAAAAGCAAGACATATCCAGCCTCCTCAATAACCTTTCTAAACACTGTGCCAGATTCTTAAGGAGCCAAGAACTTGGATTTGCTGCTTAGAAAAAGAGACATTTTATAATGTGTGCTTTCCCTTCAAAAACAATTAAGGAATTGGGGTCAAGATACTAACATTTTTCATAATTATTTTGCCAGATTTTACAGTTTTTATTTAATTTGAGCCCAAACTATCTTGTTTCTGAATACTGTGGTGAAATAAGTCAGGAAGGGATTGTAGGTGCTTCTTAGTTTCTGTAAGTCTTCTTCCTAGCAGACCCAAGACTTCGTAAGTTCCCTTGCTATTTATGACTAGCTTATAATAACAAAGTCATGCCCATCACCTGGAGCTGGGGAGAGAAGTCATACTTCTCTCCTGATGTTAGGAGTAGCAGGAACTCTCCCTATGTGTCTGTGTGGCTTCCCAATCTTGTTAATTCCAAGACACAATATTAATTAGTCTTTGCAAGATTGAATATTGCCCTCATTCTCCACCCATGAGTCACCTGGTTATGACCTGTTTTGTTCTAGGCACCAAAATCAAGTTCTTGGCTCATTAAGTGTCTGGCACCAAGTTTGAGAAGATAAGTGAGTGGGCTGGGTTTGTCTAGCTTTTGGGAAAGTTGCCTGATGTAACCAGGCAACCAAATTGCTGTATCAAGACTGAAAGGTTGGCCACATTCTGTAATCAGAGCTTTGTATCATAATCTTTCTTTATGATACTTGTCCTGCACTCTGTATCTGCAAGTGAGATATATACCTGGTCCAGCTTCCCTGTGGAAGGTGGGAGTGGTGAGATGCTGAAACTTACTTCTTGAGTTCCTTCCTCCACAGTTACTGTTTGAAATCCTGCTAGAAATGGATGAGTCACTAGAATTGCCAGCATCTTCCCACAAGTGTGTCACCAAATGTCCAGATTTTCCCCTTTTCAATACTATATTACCTACTCTTTCCCCAAGACACACCCCACCAGTGTCTTTGCTCTGCCTAAGACAGTGAAAAACAAACAATACTTGTCATATCTCAAGTCTTACACCATCTGGTTGACCTTGCTGGAATCAGTTTCTAGAGTTGTTGTTATTGTTGTTAGGTGTCTGGTTGAGTATGAATCACAGTGACCTTTTAACAACAGATCTAACCCTGTTCTATCCTGTGCCATCCTTATAATTTCTGACATACTGAAGCCCATTGCTGCTGTCACTGTACCAATCCACCTGGTTGAGAATCTTCCTCTCTTTTGCTGACCCTCTACCTTGCCAAGCATGCTATCTCTCTCTCCAAAGAGTAGTCTCTTCGAGCAATAGGCCTAAAGTATGTGAGAGGAAGCTTGATCATATTTGCCTCCAAGGAACACTATGGCTACACCTTCTCTAAGGCACTTCTCTATTTGCACTTTTGCCAGTCTATGGGATATTCCGCACTCTTGTCCAATACCACAATTCAAAGCTATCAATTCTTCTTCTGTCATCCTTATTTGTTGTCCAGCTCTCAGCAGCATAGTAAGTGATTGAAAAGATCATGGCCTGAATCAGGGGTACCTATGTCCTCAAACTCACATCATTGCTTCTCAAAAATTGAGAGGTCCCTGACTGCAAACTTTCTCAGTGCGATGCACCAAGTATATTAATTGTGGATCCAAGTAGGATAGAGTCATTGACAGTTTCAGTCTTTCCCCGTATGACATTGCCTGCAGGTCCAGTGGTGAGAATTTTTCTTTTCTTGACATTGAGATCTCTAGAGTTGAGTTAGCCAAAATTCAACAGCCATTCATGGATTATCTACTTTGTGCTGGAGTTGGAAATCCAAGTAAGTCTTAGTTCCTACATCCCAAAATTCTCTTAACAGTATTGCCCAGACAGATACTTCTTGCCAAGAACTCATCATGTCTCACATCAAAATCTCCATTCCAAACAACCTAAATGCCCATCAACAAACGAATAGGTAGAGAAGCTGTGGTATATTCGCACAATGGAATACTATGCTGC